GGGGGGCACCGGGGGGTGGGGGGGGCTGCAGGTCGGGAGTGGGGGGCACCATCTCACCTGGCTCCTGTGGCACCTCCCCCCTCCAGCGCCGTCAGATGGTCTCTTCCAGCCAGGCGCTGCCTGATGCTGTCACCCAGCCCGGCCCGCCCTACTGGGAGAGACCATTGGCACTTGAGCATGGGGGGGGCTGGGAGGGACCATTCGCTCTGAACATGGCGGGGCCTGGGAGAAACCATTCACACTGAATGTCAGGGGATGCTGGGAGAGACCATTGGCACTGACCATGCGGGGGGGAAGCTGGCAGGGACCATTCCCTCTATCTTTATTGGCCAGGTCTTTGGGGGAATCCCCCCATGACCTCTCTCACCCTGTGACCTTTAAGTCTCTTGACCCCTCCCCCCATCTTGCTCCTGAGACCTTTCACCCCCGACCTCGGTTCTCCTTTGACCTCGTCCCCTTGCGGGAGCTGGTCCCGCAGGGCCTTGCACAGGGACGCTTGCCCGATGCCGAGATGCAGCCACCTCTGGGGCAGGGCGGGTGGGGAACAGCCGCACATAACGCCGCACAGGGATGAAGTGCCGAGGGCTTTGCACCAGCAGGGGGCGCTGGGCCGCCCTGAGGCAGCAATGGGACTGGGATAAATAGCCCAGACCCCTGACAGGTGTGTGTCCTGCCGGCCCCTGGTGGAGGCCCCCAGCCCTGCGCTCTGCCTGGGGCAGCATCCAGGATCGGGCCCCATCTCCAGTTCCCAGCCCTGCCCTCCTCTGCATCTAGGTCCTTGAAATCCTGTTCCCAGCTCCCCGCCTGGCCAGCCCTCCGCTTGGGGGCCGCTCTCTCCCCTTAGCTCCTCCCTGGGCCCTGACCCGATGGGGCAGATAACCCCGCTCCTGCCCCCTTTGATCGTTCAGAGGCGTGGGAAGCCGGGAGAGCCAGAGATGGGGCTGATACGTGGAATGGGACGCTGGCTCCCAGACCCCTCCCCTCCTGGAGCCAGGGAGAGAACCCAGGAGTCCTGGCTCCCAGCCCCCCTGCTCTAACCCACCAGCCCCCACTCCCTTCCCAGAGCCGGGGAGAAAACCCAGGAGTCCTGGCTCCCAGCTCTCCCCCACCCCAACCACTGGACCCCGCTCCCCTCCACCAGCCCTGTTTCTTTACACAAAACAATACTTTGGGGGGCAGGGATTTAAACATCCCATAAAATTGGATCCATCCCGACACCCCCCCCCCGCTGTCTCCCTTACATTCCCACAACCCAACCCCCACATTCCTCTTCCTTGCACCCCACATTGAGTTTTGGGGAGCAAATTTTTTGCTCTTTACTGGGGGGTGAGCAAACGCCTAGGATCACCGCAAACCATCCACAGAGAATCCCCCTGAAGCACCCCAATAAACAAGGACACCCCCAAACTGGAGCATGAACCTCAAAGAGCTGAACACTAATCCAGTCCCCCAAGCCACAGCTCCCTGCAGCCCCCCCATGCTACTCAAAACCAGCTGAGTTGGGGGTGCAGGCAGAAGCTGGCACCCCCAAAATTGAACTGTGAACCCCAATCGTTAAACACCAATCCAGCCCCCTCCCAAACCATAGGCCCCCCCAGCCGCAGTGCTCAACACAACTACAATAATTTGGGGCTGTTTCTGGATGGACAACCCTGCACCCCCAAACTGAGCCCCCAACTTCACCCCGGAGGTATTAAAACGCAGGACACCCGAGTCATTACAAGAAATATATAATATATTTTAAAATGCGGTTTCCATATAATATATATTTTTAACCCACAATATATTGGGGTGCCAGAAGGGAGAGTAAAAACGGGGGGTCCTATCGCAGCCAGTGCTGGATCATGGGGACATGGGTTCATTTTGGGGACCACAAGGGGCAAAGGTTTGCGAGGGTGTAGGGGGAGCCCCCTGTGTGAGGATTTGGGGGTGCTGAAGGGGAAACCCAGGCACAGGGGAGGGTAGAAATGAGGGGTCATTTCTTCGAAAGTGGCCGGGTGGATGGAGAGAGGGACAGATGGACGGACGGGGGTCTAGGGGGGATGGACGGGTGCGTGTGTATGGGGGGGCGATGGGACAGACGGGGGGTGTGCCCAGACAGAGCTCAGGGAGGCCCATGTGGGGGTGGCCCCATTTCTAGGGGGAGCCCCCCAATCCTTGCAGCTGCTGAGCTGAGGAGAATGCCCCTGTACCCCAACACTCTGCCCCCTCTGTCCCAATCCCCGACTCTGTGGCTGGGGTGGGCAACCCCCCGAACAGCTGTACCCCAATATCCCCCCTCTTTCCAGCTCAGCCTCCTTCCCCGAGGGGCCCCCCATCACCCCAGCGAGGCGCCTGCCCCCGGGTAGGCGGCTGGGGGGGGCCCGAGGAGGTGGGTGGAGGGGGAGTAGGGGAGCAGGTGGCTGGACAGGACCATGGGGCTCAGGGCGTAGAGGGAGCCGGGGTCCTCGCCCAGGGGGGAGAGCAGTTCGAGGGGGGTGGGGGGCCCAGCCTCGCCCGGAGCCGCCCCCCGGCGTTTCTTGCCCTTGCCGGAGACTTTGCGGTTGCGGGTCTGGATGCCGTCTTTCCGCATCGTCAGGGGGCGATTGACCTGCAGGGGGGAAGGGGAGAGGGATGGAACCCAGGCATCCGGGGTCCCCCACCCTAATCACTAGACCCCTCCCTTCCCTCCCAGAGCCAGGGAGGGAACCCAGGAGTCCTGGCTCCCAGCCCCCACCACTGCCCATGCTCCCACCCCCAAACCTCCTCCCCTCCCCGCGCCGGTCCCCCCACCCTACCCACTAGACCCCCTCCCCTCCGCGAGCTGGGCAGAGAACCCAGGCGTCCGGCTCACGTTGTGCAGTTTGTAGTAGAGGCCGCAGGCGTTGCAGACGGGCTCCCCGCTGGTGTTGCGGCGCCAGAGGGTGGTGGTGGTCGTCTGGCAGTTGCTGCACTGGGTGCCCGCTCGCTTGCTGACGATCTGGGGGAAGAGACCGGGTGGTTGGCGGGCGCAGAGCGACGGGTCTGGCCCCCGCGCCCAGGGGATGGGGGCAGGGCATCGCAGGGGTGTCATGGAAGAGGAATGGGATGTTGTGGGGGGGCTGGGGCATGTCATGGGAATAGAAGGGGTGTCGGGGAGACTAGGGGTGTCTCATGGGAGGGGAAGGGGGTGTCTCATGAGAGCAGAACATGTTGGGGGAGGCTTGGGCAGGGGGCCTGGGGGTGTCAGGGGGCGGAGGGGGGATCTCATGGGAGGGGAAGGGGGTGTTGGGGAGGCGAAGGGGGCCTCATGGGAGGGGCAGAGGCTGTCAGGGAGGCTGGGGGGGTCTCATGGGAGGGGAAGGGGGTGTCGGGGGCGGAGGGGGGTCTCATGGGAGAGAAACA